AATTTTAACTCCCCTGACGGACGGGCTTTGTTCTTTCCAGCAGCTGCCCCGCAAGGTATGAAAACATTCAGATATGTTGACGTGGGAAAACAAAACACACAAATCAGCCCATTTTCCTCTTCAAGGCCGATTTATCTGGAGCTGTCAGTGGCGGGAGGGGAAGTGATGAGCCCTGGGGAGATGGGGGAGCAGCCTGGACTTGCAGCTCGGTGGGTACCGGTGCGGTTGGGATGCTCGTGGAGCATCTGGTCCATTCTCTCCAAAGCCCCAAAACACCTCAGATCTACAGAAAACAGAACGACATTTTCTGCTGCAATTCCCCAAGGTGTGGTTCCGCACATGCCCCAGCCCATCCTCCAAAATGAGAGGAGCTGGATGCCGAGGGAGCCCCCCCAGAAATGTGGTTCACCACAACATGGGCTCCATCCTGGTGCCTCCACCGTACTGACAACTTGGGTTTCTGAGTTGGGATGGGGGGGATCAGACCCTGGAGAAGGGTTTCTGAGTTGGGATGGGGGGGATCAGACCCTGGAGAAGGGTAAGAGCAGCTCAGAGAGAGGGGGAGAGGGAGGGGCTGGCAAATCCTTCTGCAAGGGCTGGTGCATCACTTCTACAAGGGGATGGATGGATGGATGGGTGGATGGATGGGTGGATGGACAGAGTGAGGGATGGGTGGATGGATGGTGCAAACACAATCCTGTTCCTTTTGCATGTGGTTTTCACTACCAAGAGCAAAACCAGGCAAATAATTCCTTCTCTTGGCAGGGTGCAGGTGAAACATTCCGGAGGTTTTCCAAGCAGCATCTGATTTTGACTTCTAGGGCAGTGGATCTGTTGAGGGGTTTGTCCATTTGCTGCCCCAACAGGATTATTTTGGGATGTGGTGCATTTCAGCCACCCTGTCTGCATCCCCACAGGATCGATCATGGATGCAGAGTTCCAGGTCTGGGTGGTAGTTGCTCTAAAGGCAAAACCCTGCACAAATGAAAATCCTGCTTTTGTAGCACTGGGAGGTGAGAGAGAGACACAGGGACTGTGAGGGAAGCAGGAGAGCCCAGGGGGAGGCACTGGGGGCTGCTCCTCTTGCCAAAAACAACCCTCACCCCAGCTGAAAGCCAGTGCACTCAGCTGTCCCAGCACTGCTTCTTCAGGTTTGGGGCTAAAAAAAAACAGTAAAAAGGGAGCACTTCTATCCCTGGAAGTGTCCAAGGCCGGGTTGGACAGGGCTTGGAGCAGCCTGGGCTAGTGGAAGGTGTCCCTGCCCATGGCAGGGGGGTGGAACTGGATGAGCTTTAAGGTCCCTTCCAACCCAAACCATTCCATGATTCCAGGATTCTGTGAAGATGGGCACTACGGAGGAGGAATAAAAACTGAAGCTTCCCATCTCTGCACCACAGCCCTGAAATGTCACAGGCAGGACTCCAGCTGGCTGCCAATCTGGAAATTATATGAAAACGTCTAAATATTTTTATATATTTGTATTTTAGACATGGACATATTTCTATCACAGTTCTACACCGGGCAGAGCTGCCCTTTCTCCCACCTGGGCACAGGATGTAGCTCTGGTATCATCAGAGCTCTGTCCAAGGCTCTCTCTAACAGGGCCATGGCAAGACAAGGTGAGAAGCACCTACAGAGGCTTAGTGCCCTTCTGAATTCCTAAAAATCATTGGGGAGAAATCTTTGCCCGCCGCCCCATTTCCTCCTCCATTGAATTAACCTCCAGAGATTCCCATGGATTTTGACTGGAGTCCTGCCAGAGCAAATTCAAGGCTCTTGCCTGTTATTTTTATGGCCATTTTAATTAAAACCAATAAATTCCGGGGGGAAAGTGGGTCTTTCCAGTGTGAAATACACTTTGTCAAGTTTGCAGCCTCTGAGTAAATCAAAACGCTGCCGTCAGGGGCTCCAGCTGTAAATCCCCCTGGATGGATCCCAGCTCACCAGGCAGGTGAGTAATGTGAATTTTCCTCCTTGACAGCCTCAGTATCTCTCTCACTTCCTCCATTTGATTTATTATTTATCCATTTTTCAGGGTGCGGAGGAGAAAATAAGAAAATAAGAGCTAAGGCATTGCCATGGAGAACTTCCCAAGAGGAGCAATCCCATGGGAGAGCAGGACTCCATCTAAGATCACAGAATCACAGAATGGGTTTGGACCTTAAAGATAATCCAGTCCCACCTTCCAGGTTGCTCCAACCTGGCCTTGGACACTTCCAGGGATCCAGGGGCAGCCACAGCTTCTCTGGGCAACCTGTGCCAGGGCCTCCCCACCCTCCCAGGGGAGATAAATTCATTTCATTGGGGAAACTCAGGGTGCAGAGAGAATTCCCAGCATCAGCAGTGGGGTTCAGGATTCTCTGTGCACCTCCAAGGGGTGATGCTCTCCTGTCCAACATGCCCCCCCCGCCTCAGTTTCCCCAATTTTGGAACCCCCGTCCACGGCAGTGGCCGGGCTGGGCAGGCGGAGCAGCAACAGCTGAGTGCAGGCAGATGAACACCGAAGCCCTTTTAAAGATTTTTCCATTTGTTTTATGTGTCCTCTGGGTTTATTTTTAACATTCCAGCCGGAAAAAAAAAAAAAAAAAAAAAAAAAGAATAAAATTAAAGCAACGCCGGAGCTGAGCCGAGAGGACGTGTTTGCTGAGACCTGCCAGGATGATTAGTCCTTTGCGGATAACCCCTTGGAAAAGGGTCAGGCTGGGGGCTCCGGCCGTGCCGGGGGCCAAGGAAAGGGATGAGTCCTCTTCCGAAGAGCTCCTCAGCCACGCTAAAAGCTGGTTTACACTCCTTGACCTGACGTTTTCCTCCCTCTGGGAGTGATCAGGAGCCCTCCTGCGTCAGAGCCGGGCAGGGCAGGGACTCAACACCTCGCTCTGGGTCTGGGAGGGGGTTTTCACCCCGGGAGGGTCCTTAAACCCCGTGTCCTGGACCGCGTGCAGCGTGTACCCCTCTGTGCTGCCTCGTCACAGGAATGGGAACACCCTCCAGGTAAAGAGGGTGGTGCATCCCAAGTGCAGCACCCAAGATATGCACATTAAATCCATCCCTGTGCTCCCAGTTCCTGACCGGATCCACCCCACCACCCCTCTGGGACAGAGCCAGGGCCACCAAACCCCTCTCTGTGCTGACAGAAACCCACGGCACGTTGTTCCTGCCTCCCCACTCAGCGGCCCTGGAGCTGGATACCATCTGAGCCATGGGATGAATGAAAAGCCATTAATTCCCTCCTGGGCGTTTTTATGAGGCTCTTGATGAAACGTCTGGATGCTTCAGCACTGCAGGAGTTTGATGCTGGCAGAGCTCTGTGCAGACTGAAAACCCCGTCTCCAGGGTTGAACCAGCTGCTGGTCTCTTGTCCTGTGTCCCCTAATCCACCCCTCCTGAGCCAAAAGCACCCAAAACTGCCCCAAATCATCCTCTGGCAGACCCAGCGCTGCCCCAGGGCAGTGAATTAATCCATCCCCAAAGCAAATAGAGGGGGACACCCCAAATGTAGGTACCCCCTCATCCACTGGGGTTCTGGGAGAAATGAGGCTCCTTCCTCTCGGCTTTGCAGACCCTGAAAGGGGGGAGCCCTGCCAGAGGAGGGGGGTCCTGCCCCACGGCTGGTAAGGATCCTTGGAAAGGGTAGGGTGACCCTCAGCACCCCACAAAGCCCAGCTCTGCTGAGCAGGTGGTGTTGATGGGTCTGTGCCTGCCCCCCCACCCTGCAGCTTCCCCCCAAACCCCTCAACCTGCAGCAGCATCTCTCCTAAGACCCCCAGCATCCCTCCCTATCCCTCCCAAGCTTCCCTCCTAAGTCCCCGCAGCACTGCTCCCCAAATCCCTCTTCAGCACCCCCCAAACCCTTCACCCAGAGCACCCTTCCATCTTCCCCCTGCCCAGCATCCTTACAAAGCCCCCCACTGCCAGTATCCCTCCAATTCCCTCCTGAATCCCCCTGTAACCTCCTCCCAAACCTCCTCAGCACCCCACACCCACCCCAACCCACCCAGCACCCCTCAACACAACAACATATGTGGGGGGGGGGGAGAAGAGAGAGGGGGGAAAAGGCACGGAGTGGAGGGGACTGGAGAGACCCCAGCTTTGCTTTGGGGACAAGGGGGATGGTTGTGTCCCCCCCCTTTCTTCTACTTCCAGACAAAGAAAACCCAAAACAGCTATAACGTCGGGATCCACCTCAGCCCCCCCTCAGCCCGGGGACCCCCGGGACGTTTGGGGCCGCCCCCGCAGCCCTCGCCGGCTCCGGGGGTGGGCGACAGGCAGGGATAGGGGAAGGCAGGGACCGGGAGGGATGTGGGGACAGACAGGGGTTGGGGTGGGGAAGACAGGCAGGGACGGAGGGGAGAGGCAGGGATGGGGAGGAGGGAGCGCAGGTCCAGGGACCTGGGTGGTGGGAAGGGAAGCAGGAATTGCGGGGGGGGGGCGGGGGTAAGGCAGAGGCTGGGAAGGCAGGGACCGGGAGAGGAGGTTGGAGGGGATTGGGGGAGAGAGAGACAAGCGGGGCGGGGGCGGGGGGCGCAGGTAGGGATCCGGGGGGGAGAAAGGCAGGGAGGAACGGAGGGATGGGGGGAGGCAGGGAGGGAATGAGGGGGGAAGGCAGGGATAGGGGGGACAGGCAGGGATGGGGTGGGAGGGGAAGGGATGCGGGGAGCAGGTAGGGATGAGGGGAGCAGGTAGAGAGAGGGGGAGCAGGTAGGCATGAGGGGACGCAAATAGGGATGAAGGAAAAAGAGACCGGGGAGGGAAGATAAGGATCTGCCGCGGGGAGGAAGGCAGGGACGGAGAGGGAGGGGGGGGACAGGTAGGGAGCAGGGGGAGAGGATAGCAGGGAAGGAGCGGGGGGAACAGGCAGGGAGCGGGGGGCTGCAGGCGGGCGGGCGGGCGGGGGGGGCGGGCAGGCGAACAGGACCGCCCCCGGCCCCACGTGGCTCGGGGGACACGCGGGTTTATAAAGCGTCCCCGGCCCCGCGCGGGTGCGGGAGCGGCATCGGCACCGGGCGGGAGCGGGGCTCGAACCCTCGGCGCTCGGGTGCGCCCCGGGAGCCCCGGCGGGGCCACGGCAGCCCGCGGGCCATGGAGCTGCCCATGGATGTGCCCATGGATGCGCCCATGGATGCGCCCATGGAGCTGAGCACGGTGCTGCCCTCGGTGCTGCCCTCCGTGCTGCCCTCGGCCGCAGCCACCCCCTGGGGCAACGGCACCGCCTGGGCCCCCCTGCCCGGGCACGGGGGCAACGAGACGGGCCCGCAGAGGGCCAAGAACGCCACGTCCATCCTGATCGCCATCGTCATCACCGCGCTCTACTCCGTGGTGTGCGTGGTGGGGCTGCTGGGAAACGTCCTGGTCATGTACGGCATCGTCAGGTGAGAGCGGGGCACGGCGAGGGTGGGCACGGGGTGGGTGGGCACCGGGAGCCGCGGCGGGCCGGGGGTGGGTGTGCAGCACGTGCGAGGTGTGAGAGGGCAAGAGGAGCGGGTGTGCACCGAGTGTGAGACAGCGGCAGGGCTGAGCGTGCAGAGAGGGGTGAGTGTGCACACCGGGATCGTGTGGGCGCGTCAGGAGCGAGGGTGAGTGTGAGTGAGGGTGAGCGTGAGTGAGGGTGAGTGTGCACCGGGGGTGAGACAGCACCGGGACCGAGTGTGTGCCACGTGTGAACCAGCAGCAAAGTGAGGGTGCACGAGGGATGAGTGTGGGTGTGCCCGGGGTGTGAATCTGAGTGTGCCCGGGGTGTGAGCCAGCGGCTCAGGGAGGGAGGAGGAGGAGGGAGGGTGGGCGCGCACCGGGTGCTTGTGAGCGGGCGGCACCGAGATGGGTGGGACAGGTGTGTGACACGCGTGCGACACGCGTGTGTGTGTGAGGAGGGGTCCAGGGGCTGTGCGAGGGGTAAAAGCAGAGGCTGTGTGTGGACGGAGCAGCTCGGGGGGTGCAGGGGAGCCGTGTTTGGGGGGACGGCCCGACCCCAGCAGTGCTGAGTGTCCCCTCGCCCCGTGTGAGGGAGAGGAGCCGCAGGGCTGGTCGCGCCGGGGGCTGGGAGCTGCTCTGCCCCCCGCAGCCGGGGATAGAGGGGCTGGTGGGCTCCCACTGGCACCACCCCACTCCGTGAGTGGGAATTACCCATCCAGCCCGTTCCCAGCTCCCGCTCGTGCCGGCAGCTCCCGCAGCCGCCTGACTCCTGCTTTGCTCTAACAAAGAGCAGGAGCCGCGTGGCCCGGCCCCGCTCCCACCCCGGCCGAGCTGTCCCTGAGCCCCTCGGTGGGGGGTACCAGCTCCAGCGGCACAGAGACCCCCCCTCCTGTCCCGGGGGACCCCAAACCCTCCTTTGGATCCATCCAGGACCTCGGCACCTTTGTTGAGGCTGTCCCTGGGCAGGGAGGGGGGCTGAGGGGTCTCTGCACCCCAGGACAAGCAACAGGACCCCAACTCCCCCCATGTTAAAGACAGGGCACTGCTGTATCCAGCCTGGCACTGGTGCTGAGGTCCAAAATCTCCTGCCAGACCCTTTGTCCGAGACACTGGTTGGTCCTGCCTGAACAAGAGGGAATATGGGACAATAAAGCCGAGTCTTGCAGAGCACAGGACCAGCACCAGCAGTGGGGTTGGCAGAGCCCACTCCATGGCCCCCAGACCCCGCTGGCAGTGGAGGACTGGGCTGTGCTCACTGACACACTGCTGTCACACTCTGCACTGGCACAGACTCCAGCACCTCCAGCCTGGCAAGAGGGAGCACGAGGGTCTCACTGGGTGCTGGGCTTTGCAGCTCCCCCTCCCACACTGGAGGGGTCTTTTCCTGGGCGTCCAGGATTTGTGGGATTAATCCCAATCACCTCAGGGGTTGTTGTAACCCCAGCCTGGCCAAGACCCTGGGGCCAAACCAGAGCTGGTGGCTTGATCTAAGCAACCCTGCCAAATCCCCACTTTTTAACCATTTCCACACCCCTTTTCCCATCCCTTTCAGTCCACGGGGATGGTTACAGGAGGTCAGCACAGCCCAACACTGCCTGTGCACGGGGATAAATGTGGTGACTCACCGGAGGGGAGGAAATGAGCCTGAAACGTGTCCGTGAGCCACTCTGGGCTGACCATCACCCTCGTGAGATCACCCTCACCACCCCAGCTCCCCACTCTTTGGGTTATGCTTTCAACCATCCTGCGGGGTGGGTGAGGGGGACGGGGGTTGGGGTGTCACTCCCTGACCTGACCTGACACCCGACAGGATTTTTCACCCGCTCGAAGCGGAGTTAAAAATGAGCCCTGGTCTGAAAAAGCAAACTGAGGTAATTGCAGCAGAGCCAGAGCCACGAGCGGTGTCAGGGTGAGGGATGGGTGTTATTAGACCCCCTCCAGCTGGTTCTGCTCGGCAGGGAGAGGGGAGGGCGTTTTAAAGAGAACAATGTCATGTGCAAACAACATCCTCCCTGTTTTACTCACTGAGTAACCTGATTCTACTGATCCACAGATCCCATCACCGTGGCTTCTAGCCCCCCCTTTTCCACCTGATTCTGGAATTAAACACAGAATCATAGAATTATGGAATGGTTTAGGTTGGAAGGGACTTTAAGACCATTCGTTCCACCCCCTGCCACTGGCAGGGACACCTTCCACTATCCCAGGTTGCTCCAGGCCCTGTCCAGCTTGGCTTTGAACACTTCCAGGGATAGGGAATATCTCCCAAGGAATGAATAAACACTGTCCTCCTAGCTCCTGGGTCAGGAGTGGCTGTGGTGACGTGCCCTCGTCCTTTCCATGGCCAAACCTGCCAGGAGTCTCCCAGGGTTCCTTGGCAGAGTTGTTCCACACCAGCAGGGTTTGGGCCAGGACTGGGGATGAGCCGTGTCCGTGCAGGACAGGGCTGTGAGCTGGAATCAGCTCGGGTTCAGACCTCACTGCCAGGGAGATGTTGGTGTTTGCCTTGTGCCATCCTCCTTGTGCCAGCTCCTGCTGTCTGGGCAGGGTACCTGGGCAGTCTGGAAGCACGGCTGGAGCACATCCTGCTGACTCAGGGACCCCCGGGGACCACGCTGAGTGCCAGGAGCAGGCGGACACAGGACCTGCTCCACAGCTCCCAGCTCCCATCCACGCACTGGGAGGGAGCCCAGCACACCCAGCACCCTCCCCACCACAGCTCTGGCCAGCATTGCCATTCCCACTGCTTTTAAAAACACCCTCGGAAGCAATTTGCAGCTGCGAGCTCAGGCCTGCGAGTGCCCCCCATCCCTCTCGAGCCCATCAGCCCCCTGCCAGCTCCCACACAGGCTGCAGGGACAGCTGGGTGCAGGCTTTGTTAAGCCAGGCTCTGCCAGGCAGTGGCTTTTTAGCAGCTCCAGGAGTTTTTTCTTTCACTTGTTATTCACTTTTTCTTTCGCTTATTTATTTTCCGAGAGGTTTGGAGAGGGGGGGTCCCTACTTAGGAGTCCAGCCTGGAAAGCAGAGCTGCCCTGTGCTTGTTCCATCCCCTCCCTCCCCTCCTCTCCATCAACACCTCCCAGACTGTTCCGTTCAAGTGCGTGGTAGCTTCCCAATCAAGGCACTCGCTTAATTACGAAGGGTTTGGCAGCCTAGGGAGCTCCATCAGCAGCAGAGGATGGTTCTCTCTAATGGGGGCAATAAACCTCTTTTCTGCAGCAGCAGCTTCGTTTGCAGCTCGGGGGGGTCACCAGGATGGACCCCCCACCCTGTGCAGTGGGTTGGAACCTCAGCCCAAGCCTGGAAGGGGCTGAATCCTGCCCCAAAACCCCGGTGCTGAGGGATAAATTGTCATCCCCATCATCCCAGTTATCCCCATCCCCATCTCAGTCAACCTCATCATCCCAGTCACCTCCTCATCCCAGTTATCCCCATCACCATCCCAGTCAACCCATCATCCCAGTTATCCCCATCATCCCAGTCACCTCCTCATCCCAGTTACCCCCATCACCATCCCAGTTATCCCCATCATCCCACTCCTCCTCCTCATCATCCCACTTATCTCCATCATCCCAGTCGTCACTGCTTTGCCCTCACCAGCCCCATCCTGCCCGGGGAGGGGGCAACAGCCTCAGACCCTCCTCTCCCCCACCCCTGGCACATCTGGCAGGGGTTGGGAAGTGCTTACCCAGCACATCTGGCAGAGCACAGAATGAATAGCTGATTTTTTTTTTTTTTGCCCCATTTTACTCAAAAACCCAGAGCCCAAGGACGTGTGAATGTACCCGAACCGACCGTTTGTTTGCAGGAGAGGCAAAACCTGTCACTGCCACAAATTCTCAGCTTTTTTTTTTTGTTTAACCTGGAAGGAAACTTTTCCGAGAGATGCATTTGCAAAAGCGCCTGGAAAATAACACTAAAGAGAACTGAAAAGGACTTTTCAAGGGCAAGACATTTTTAATGCCGTATTTTAAACAAATAAATAAATAAATAATAAAAAAACCCAAAAACGAAAGCTCAACTCGAATATTTCCACCCTTGGGCAAGGGGCTGCCATTTGCAGCCGTGGTGAAGGAGACAAGGAACACTGTTGGAGCTGGGATGAGCTGCTGTTTTCTATTTTTTTCCCAGACAGAAACGGGTTTTGCAGCCTCCAGCTCCTGGTCCCCACTGACACGCTCTCCTGACCTGCTGAGAGGCAGAAAAGACAAATGGAAGGGGTTGGGCAGCACCACCAATCCCAGTCTGATTTCCATCTCTCTTGTAGGTTCCCTTCAGGGACTGGAAGGCCACAGTTAGGTCACCCCAAAGCTTCTCTTCTTTCCTACCCCAACCTGCTGTCCTGGGGGCAGGAAGGGACCTTAAAGTCCATCTTGTTCCACTCCCCTGCCGTGGTCAGGGAACACCTCCCACTAGCCCAGGTTGCTCCAAGCCCCATCCAACCTGGCCTTGGACACTTGGGGCAGCCACAGCTTCTCTGGGCAACCTGTGCCAGGGCCTCCCCACCCTCACAGGGGAGAATTTCTCCCTAATACCTGATCCAAATGTGCCCTCTGCCAGTCTGAAACCGTCTTGCCCCTGTCTGCCCATATAAAAAGTCCCTCTCCGTCTATTTTATAAGAACTCCAAGGAAAACCACCTTTTCATCCAGCAGCCAAGGGTTTCTCTCCCCGCTCCCTGACCCACCCCAGCGATGCCACGGGCAGGTTTAGCCATGCACAGAGATGCTTGTGTGCAAAGCCCGTTCTTAATTAATTAGGGTGCATCCAAACGAGCTCGAGGCTGCCGAGGATGCTCAGAGCTCCAAGGATTTGCTGGGAGGGAGTTCAGGGAAGGGCTGGAGCTGCTGGTGTAGCCCTGCCCTTAACCCAGTAAAGAGCCACAGAGCTGCCCCCACCCCACGTGTTGCTCTTTGGGGACCCCCAGCAGACCCCTTGGCATCCACTTCCAACCCACCACAACACTCAGAGCATCCTCTTGAGCAGCTCCTGCGGGGCTGGATGCTCCCAGGGTGCACACACACACATCCCTGCTGCCCTGGCATCCACCAAGACTTCGCCTCATCCCTTCAGGAACGGTTTGGGCACGCAGGACCAGGCGTTTCTCTTGCCATGATGTGACAAGGACCAGAGCCAGCCCTTGCCAAATGCCCCAGGAGAATCAGCCAGGCTTCCCCAAAGGTTCTGGAGCTCCAGGCTGGCTAATTGGGCTGCTTCCAGATGGCCTGTTTCCGGGGGTAATCGATCCGATTTCTGCAGGGAAGCAGGCGGGATAATCACGGGTTACTGGGTGGAAAATCAGGTGGAGGAGGGTTAGGGGGGGATAAAGGACGTGGATGCAACTGAGTCAGGGAAACGGAGTAAATTGATCTCTTCGGAGAATTGACTTCTCTGGAAAGTTCTTTATTCCTTTGAATAGAGACAGGCATGGATTGAGTGCCACGTCCCTGGACATGGGATGACCACTGTGGCAGGGTCCGAGCCCCATGTTCTGTAGGGTCCCAGCCCCATGTTCTGCAGGTCCCAGCTCAGCACGTGGGAGTGTCACCCCCTGCTCAGGCACCAGGATTCAGTGGGTGCCATCCCTGCCTGTGACAGAGGGTGGAACTGCATGAGCTTTAAGGTCCCTTCCAACCCAAACCATTCTGGGATTCTGTGATTTTATGACTTTAACACACACTAAACGCCTGCAAGAACACAAGTGTAGAATCATAGAATCATGGAATGGTTTGGATTGGAAGGGACCTTAAAGTTCATCTCATTCCACCCCCTGCCATGGGCAGGGACACCTCCCACTGTCCCAGGTTGCTCCAAGTCCTGTCCAACCTGGCCTTGGACACTTGCAGGGATGGGGCAGTCACAGCTTCTCTGGGCAACCTCCCCACCCTCACAGAGAAGAATTTATCCCTAATATCCCATATAACCCTGCCCTCTGGCAGTGGAAAGCCATTCCCCCTTGTCCTGTCACTCCAGGCCCTTGTAAACAGTCTCTTTCCTGTAAATAGTCCCTCTCCATCTTTCCTGTCAGCTCATTCAGGCACTGAAAGGCCACAATTAGAACACCCTGGAGCCTTCTCTTCTCCAGGCTGAACAACCCCAATTCTCTCAGTGTTTCCTCACAGCAGAGCTGCTCCATCCCTCTGATCAGCTCCGTGGTCTCCTCTGGACTCGCTCCAACAGCTCAATGCCCTTCCTCAACGTGCTCCCTGGGGCGCCTGGAAGGGCTCTGAGCACCCTGATGCTGCAGAAAGGTCCCATCACGACACATCCCTGTGCCCCCCACCCTGACCCCCTGTGGCCTCTCCCTTCCCCAGGTACACCAAGATGAAGACGGCCACCAACATCTACATCTTCAACCTGGCGCTGGCCGACGCGCTGGCCACCAGCACGCTGCCCTTCCAGAGCGCCAAGTACCTCATGGAGACCTGGCCCTTCGGGGAGCTGCTCTGCAAGGTGGTGCTCTCCATTGACTACTACAACATGTTCACCAGCATCTTCACCCTCACCATGATGAGCGTGGACCGCTACGTCGCCGTGTGCCACCCGGTCAAGGCCCTGGACTTCCGGACGCCGGCCAAGGCCAAGATCATCAACGTCTGCATCTGGGTGCTCTCCTCCCTCATCGGGGTGCCCATCATGGTCATGGCGGTCACCAAGACAAAAGGCAAGTGGCTTTTTGGGGACATGTCCCCTCCTGTCCCATCCGTCCATCCCAGGGGTGATCTGGTGAACCTGACACCCGGCCCTGTAGCAGGTTTGGGGTCAGTGTGGGCACCTCTCCATGGGACCATAAGTGTGCCATGTTGTGGAAAAGGCATCATGGTGTTAGTTTTCCGTCTTGGAAACCATCCCAGAAATTGCCTTCCCTTCCCCTTAAGGCTGGGACACCACACCCTTCTCCAGTCCAACCAGTGCCTCTTCCCCGCTCCTGGGGTGCAAACTGGTTAGAGTATGGAGCTAATAATGCCAACCACTGAACCAAAGGTTCAACTCCCATGCTGGCCATTCCCTTAAGAGTTGGACTTGATGATCTTCATGGATCCCTTCCAACTCAGAATATTCTATGAATATCTGAAATCAGGTTCCTAAAAACACCCCCGGTAGTGCTGTGAAGTCCCCAGCTGGCCCACACTGAGATCTGCAGTTCCAGTGTGGGGACAGCAGCCCTTGGCTGCTGGGAAAGCTCTGGGCATCCCGAGGAAGGGGACAGGTCTCAGTAAAAGGTGACATGGGGATGTGTCCACCACAGGGGTTGGGAGGATGCAGCGTGGGGATGGCCCAGGAGGCTCTGCAGGGAAGAGGTCACTGCACCCCCTGTATCCCCTCAGCACCCTGTGGGCTGGTGGCTCTGGGGAGCCTCTGCCAAGAGCTGGCAGGTGGGAATGCATCTCCCTGAGGTTTCAACATGCCCAGCCACGACCAGAAGGCCGAGTATCCAGAGCAGAGCCTCCCCCAGCTCCCTCCCTGACCCTCCTCTCCCCCGCAGACGGGATGGTGCTGTGCACCCTGCAGTTCCCCAACCCTCCCATCTACTGGGACACCGTCACCAAGATCTGCGTCTTCATCTTCGCCTTCCTGGTGCCCATCCTGGTCATCACCATCTGCTACGGGCTGATGATCCTGCGCCTGAAGAGCGTCCGCCTCCTCTCGGGCTCCAAGGAGAAGGACCGGAACCTGCGGCGCATCACGCGCATGGTGCTGGTGGTGGTGGCCGCCTTCATCATCTGCTGGACCCCCATCCACATCTTCGTCATCGTCTGGACGCTGGTGGACATCGACAAGAAGAACCCCTACGTGGTGGCCAGCCTGCACTTCTGCATCGCCCTGGGCTACACCAACAGCAGCCTCAACCCCGTCCTCTACGCCTTCCTGGACGAGAACTTCAAGCGGTGCTTCCGGGAGTTCTGCCTGCCCTTCCGAGCCCGCGTGGACCAGAACAGCTTCTCCCGCGCCCGGAACACCACGAGGGAGCGGGTGTCCACCTGCACGCCCTCGGAGGCCCCCAACAAGCCGGCATGACTAGGCGTGGGCAGCCCCCAGCGGGGCTGCCGGGGCCGCGGAGGGGACGACCTGCGCTCGGAGGTCACCCAGGTCACCACCACGGAGTTCTGAGCAGAGCGGTGGCACCGCTGGGTGACGCCCCGGGGGTTGTGCCCACAATGACTGCAAAGACTTTGGTCGTCCCGGAGAAGCGGGATGGGGGAACTGGGACTCGCCAGGCAGTGTAAGGAGAGGATCGGGACAAGAGGTGACCTGGGCAGAGCTGCTCTGCTGCTGCTCCCACCTCAACCAAGGCCACCCAACAAGGGCTGTCACCCTCCCAAACGTGGCTCTCTGCAGAGCCCAGGACACCAGGACTGCAATGTCCATGTGCTTCACCTCCTGGGCCAAGGTGGCACCATAACCCATGGCAAGAGGGGAAACGCTCCCGTGGCATAAGGGGACTGTGCCAGGGGGTGATTGTGGGACCATGGAATCATTCAGGTTGGAAAAGCCCTCTGAGATCGTGGAGTCCAACCATTCCCCCAGCACTGCCGAGGCCACCACTGACCCATGTCCCCGAGTGCCAGATCCACATGGTTTTAAATCCCTGCAGGGATGGGGACTCCACTACTGCCCTGGGCAGCTGTGCCAGGGCTGGGCAACCTTTTCAGTGAAGAAATGTTTTCTAATATCCAACTTAAACCTCTCCTGGCATGACCTGAGGCTGTTTCCTCTGCCAGATCATGGGACTTCAGTCCATCCCTCTCTGAGCTGTGTCCAAAAAAACAACCAGAGCTGGGAAGAGAAAATGATGCCGCTTCAAAGACTGTAATTAAAGAGCTCCAGCTCCACACCTGGAGTCCTTCAATCTGGGACTGCTCCCAGAGAAGAACTTTCTATCAATAATGTCATTAATCTGTTATTTAGAGACCTCTGACTGCAGCCAGGGCAGCCCTGGACATGGGTGTGATGCTGGGAATACGGATACAGCCAGGGCACACCTGAAGCTCACCCTGTACCATGTGCCAATGCCAAATTCCCCATGCCCCCTGTCCATCAGGGTGACAGTGAACTGATGAAGATATTAAGCCTGAGAAGAACCTCATTAAGGGAGCAATTTGTGGGAACTCGAGTTGCTTCTCGCAGTGCTAAAGCAATTAGGATGGAATAACAGGCAGTGCCAAGGGCTCTCCCTTCCCTGCCCATCAGGAGAAGGATGAGCAACAGCACTGCCCAGAGTTCCATAGCAGAGACAAAAAGGATAGGATGGGGGTTGTGTTATTTTTTTTTAAGGAGAAGATGAAAAAACTATCCCCTTTCTTTCACAGTTCCCCAAGCAGGGACAGAGGCTGTGCAGGCACCGAGAAAGGACCCACAGCCTGCAAGAGGCAGAGGTTTGGGGGTTTCAGCTCTCATCTGGATGGAGCAGCATCCCCCCAGAGGCATGGCTGAGCTCCAGCTCCCATCACATCCTGCAGGAACCACCATCCAGGAACCTCTGGACCACATCACCTGCAGCTGAACCGTGACTGATGGGTCCTCCCACTCCCTGAATCCCCCCGTCAGCCCCGCCCCACATCCCTGAGCCACCACTTTTCCTTGCTGTCCCCCTTCCCACCGTCATTGCCAGGCAGTCAGACAGCCCGGGGAGGAGGAGGGGGATGCTTGGAGGAAGCAGGAATGGCAGTGACTGGACAAATTGGTGCAGCTGGAGGAAGCAGGCGAGCGCTGGGGGCACCTGGGGCTCATGGGCTGGAGGCAGAGCCTGTCTTGTGTCTGGTTTCTCCAGTTGCATCAATTTAGGCTAATAACGGCCATTACCTCTCCTCAGCAGCCCCACCTTTCTCCAGAGCCTGTGGAAATTGCAGCCTTCCCTGTTAGGAAGACATGAGGCAACCAAAACCAATTTCTTTTTCAAAGGAATCAAATAGGGTGAAATTGCCCATTTGGGTCTCAAATTGGCTGTGCCAGCGGATCCTCCTCCTCTGCCTGCACTCTGTCAACCTGCCACAGGCAAAAGCCTCTTGCTCAGTGTTACATCCACTTGGACATCTCCAGCTCATGCCCAGGGCTCCTCAGGATCCCTCTGCAGGCACAGATGGAGTCCTGGATCACTGGCTTGGGTTCCTCATCCTCTGCTGCCACAACTCGTGGAGCATCGGGCGAGGGAAAGCAGGGTCAGCTCCAGGGCAGGAACTGGGGGGAAACCCCCGAGGTCCCACAAAGCTGAGCTTCAGCTCCTTGAAAAGAGAGACTGAAGTGTCCAGAGGATTGCAGACCATCCTTTAGCTGTCCACCCCCACCCACCCCCAGGGCAGAACTCTCAGCAGCCTGTGGTGGGAAAGGTTTGGAGCTGGTTGATGGCGAGCACTTGACCATGGTGGGATTTCAGGATGTCCCACCAGGCTGGACATCCCACGCTGTGGAGCAGGACATCTCGGGGTTCTCTCCTGGCTTGAGCATGAAGCTGAATTCCAGCTTGATATCTCAATTTGGGAGGCACCCCTAAAAAAACGTGGTGACCCTAAATCAGTGATCTCTTCAACCCGCCAGTGCCTCAGTGCTCCCTAAAATCCAACCCCGTGATCAAGGCTGGGAATGGCACAAGGGAGAGCAGCTTTTCCCACCACAGGGAAGGAACAGGGACACAGGGAAGGTGAATCCTGCCATCAGGGATGAGGCATCTCTGTCCTGGTGCAGCCCCTCCGAGGACATGTCATCGTGCTGGGGAGATGAGGGAGCCCCCCACGAGTGCTGGGGCCCGTGGGCTGCCCTGAGGCTCCGAAGGCAGTTCAGCCCCCCCATTTCCTGTCCCCACGGGGCCTTTTTTCCATCTGCCGAATTCCCAGCCTGCTGGGAAACGTGCCTGCCATGGCCTTAAAGCGGGTTAAGAGGCTCCAAGTCATTATTTTTTAAAATGCCACCGTGCTCGGGCAGAGCTCTGAGCCCGGGACACAGCGAGGAACGTGGCTTTGCTGAGCTCCGGGCTTGCTGACTGAAAGAAAGGCAGAATATTCCCGGGAAAAACAGGACATGGAGCACATGGGGTGACATGTGGATCTTGAGCATCCCGAGCTGGCAGCAGCCCAGCAGGGATCTGGGGGCTGATCCAGCTTCTCCCCCCCCAAAAACGCAGCTGCTCCAGCCCAAGGTTTGGGCTGGGAAACTGAGGACAAATCCTGGCCCAGGGAAACGCCACTGGGATGCTCAGAGGGAGCTCTGTGTGTATTTATATAAATATATCTGTGTGTATATGTGTCTATAGGTGTATGAAGTCAAAGTGACCCCCCCACCCCACCCCCTGCTATAGCAGCTGCCCCGTGTGTGATGGAGCTGAGTCCGCCGGGTCCACAGCACCTCACAAAGTGCTTCAGCCACTATTTCCAGCTCCAGCCCTCGGGATTTTGGGCCTTTTCAGTGGCATTTCTGTAAAGGAACCCTGCTTTCTAAAAAATAAAATAATAAAGCAAAATAAACTCGGAGATAGGAAGCAGTTTCCAGCTCTCCCGTGACTCTGGGGCATTGAAAATGAGCAGGGTCTGGCTCAGGGGGGTGTTTTGGGGAGTGATGGGAGAGGAAACACCCTCTAAATTTACTCTTTACTCTTCCCCGTGAGGGTGGTGAGGCCCTGGAATGGGTTTTCCAGAGAAGCTGTGGCTGCCCCATCCCTGGAAGTGTCCAAGGCCAGGTTGGACAGGGCTTGGAGTAACCTGGGACAGTGGAAGGTGTCCCTGCCCACGGCAGGGGTGGAATGAGATGAACTTTAAGGTCCCTTCCACCCCAAACCGTTCTACGATTCTAAATTCAAGTTCTAAAAGCTCGCATGGACTTGGAAAAAATCACCTTTGTGAACCCCTGAGGCCCTTTAGCTGAAGTTATTTCCAAGCCTTGAGTAATAAAAAGCCTCTGTTGCTGCTGGTCATCAAGATACAATTTTATTTTAACAGCCCAGCAGCTCAAAATCTGGCCCAAATTACATTTTTTGCAATTTAAATGCAAATGAGGATTTAGTGAAAAAGCAACAGAAACGGGTGTTGGAGCCTGAAACTCCTCTTGGGCTTAATGAGACTTTGCATTTTAAGGTATTTCTCACTTCTGCCCTGTCGTTTGTGAGTTCCCAGGGAAAGGGGGAACCATAAAGAGCACAAGGTGGGCATGTGAAATCCAGAATTCCAGCCCCGGGGTGGTGGAGCACCACTCCAGGACCCCTCTCCATCTCCCAGCTCCCTGGGAAATCGGAGCCAGGCACCGACTCCAGCGATTTCACAGCCCAGTTAAACCAGCAGCTGAATAATGCAGCGACCTGTGCCAGCACACGGGAGCTGCCACTCACCTCCCAGCTATTCCCAGGGACTTCTTCAGCCCAAAATCACGTTTTCTACTGCAGAAAACGTCCTTTCCCCCTTTTTTTCCTTTACTTAACCCACCGAATAATGAGCCCTGATGTATCAGGCTTTATTTTTACACGTGTGATTAATTGTGATGACGCTGGTTCCTTTGTCTGCAGGTTTAGGTCGATTTTGGAATTGCATTAATAATGCAGATGGCAATGAGTGGATTTGGCTTTTCCTGGGGAGGATTGGGCTGAGATCTCCCACCCTCCTCGCTCTGGAGTAGCCAGGGATGCATCCAGGCTCTCGGTCCTGCAGGGACGCTTGTCTTGCAATTCATCATTTAAAAGGGGAGAAAAAAAATCATTATGAATAATTCCTAGAGGGTTTTTTTTTTTTTTCTCCTTTCAGAGTTACAAATTCTCTCAGTCTGTGTTTTTTTTATTCCCTGGGCAAATGGGACTGGGAGGAAGGGAAGGGGGATTATGGGAGCACTGGGGCTCCTCCGGGCAGGGATGGAGCCACAACCCCATTCCCTCAGCTCCCAAGGGACGTCCTGAGCTGGGTGAAAAGTTTTCCTTCTTTTTGCCCTGTTGTTACAGGAGATGAACCAGAACTTCAGCAGTTCTGGGAGGGGGCAGAGACACCCACACATCACTTATTTCAGCCCAATTCCCGTCCCCAAGACACCCAACACGCTCCTCTACCAGGAACCACACCAGATAATTACTTATTCCAGTTATCCTGGGATGTACTGGCCAGATTCCAGCCTTAATGACAGGATTCAGGGAGGTGACATAGCCCAGTGCAAGGACCAAACCCTCTCTGTCGCTTGCAGACCCATCATTAAACCCCGACAACAGGCAGCTTGGCCATAATTAAAGCTCGTTTCCTCTTCCAGGCAGGAAAGGGAGAACAAGAAAACAATCCAGTGTCCTCCAAACCCTCCTGAAGACGCAATTCCCTCCTGCCAGATCCTGCAGTACCACTGCATAGGTAGAGTTTTTGCATCCAAAACAGCAACATGTTGAAAAAACACAGAAAAAAATCCCCCACAAACCCTTCAAACAACACCCAAAGTGCTTTTATTCTGGGGTCAGAAGCGCCCCACACCGCCAGGGCTGATCCTCTGCAGAGGCTAAAGCCCCCAAATTCCACTTTCCCACCTTTTGTCTGTAAATTAAAAGCCTTTTATGCACTTCCAATAGCAACAGATGGGGACTGGGAGTGCAGGGTTGGAGATGTTGACTGGGACCCCCTGGCAGTGAAGAAGGGTCTGGAAAGGTGGAAAACCTCCACCATGGACCGAGGCTGGATCCTGACACAGCCAGGGGTCCCCCCAAACCCTCCCCCAGGACCCAAATTCCTCCTCCTCATCCCCAAAACGCCCCCGATTCACTCAGTGAGTGCAAAACCTCGTTAATGAGACATTTCCCTTTCCTCAATTAAGTTATTTTCCTTCATCCCCCCTCTCCCCCTGCTGCGTGGGGGCTCATCCTTCCCCCAGTTTCCAGCAGCTTCCCACTGAAGTGTCACTCTGGCTCCCAAGACAACGGTGGCTGATTCATCAGCTCCGAATATTTTAAATCCTATTGTTCTCCTCGGCCCTTCTTCCCCCCCACCACCCCCGTTTCTTGACAATACCAACAGGTTCCTCATTCACAAGGGGATGATCTCCCCCCCAAAAAAAAAGGGAATTGCCCACACCCGGGGGATGGACACAAAAACCTGCCTGGGATGGGGACGGGGAGGGACTGGGAGCACTGGGATGGGATGGGAGGTCTTGGCTCCCGGGTTCCTGGCAGCTGAGGCTGGTTTTGGAAACAAGACCTTAATGTTGAGCTTGTCACTGGGAATCTGGCCCAAGACAAGAAGCAGTTTCTCCATCAGATATCCAGGTCCCATTTCATGGAAGAGCATCAAATGGTGATGGTCCCCAGGGAGCAGCACTAGCCACAGGATTAGGGAACACAACCCACAGCGAGGGCAAATTCTGGGCTGGATCCCTGGCAGCAAAACATTCCCTGTGGGCCCCACACCCAAACTTTAGAGGGGAAAATAAAGCCTTTTGCACGCCTAGGACTGAAACCACCAACAGAAACACACCTTGAGTGGTGGAAGGTGGGAGTCCCCAGCCCCCCCCAGCCCGTGCTGGACCCCCACGAGGCTGTCCCTGACTGTAATCCCAGCTCATCCCACAGCTCCCGCTGCCCAAAGCCCATCCCAGGCCAGAGGCTCGTTGAGGAACCAGCTCCTGCCCAAAGTAATTAAGTGTAAACAGATCTGGGGCTCAGGTCACACGAGGATGTGGGAATTTGCTCCAGTCACACCAGGATGTGGGAATTTGCTCCGTCGGTGCCAGTCTCCGTGCTGGAGCACAGGATGTCCAGCCCAGCTCCAGCTGTGCCAGGACCCTCCCGGCCGTGCCGTGGGCTCGGCTGTGTCCCTGGAGACCCCGCGGGTGGCCGGTCAGACAGGCAGGGAGCTGCAGGGAGGGTGACAGGGACGGCAGGGACCATCCCCTCTCCCTGTTCCCAGTTCTCCCAGTCCCGCTCCCAGGAGCTCCCAGCGCCTTCTCCTGCTGCCATCCCGCGGCCGTGTCCCAGCACTGCACGGGAACACCGGGACACGGCGGGGATCACGGCACCCCTAAAACCAGGCACAGGTCCCAGGGGAGAGGGCTGCCCACCATTCCAAACCACGGGAAAAGCCTGAGCTTACAAAAACTCAGTTTATTCCAAATGTTAAAAGATGACACGTTTTTCTGTTCTTTCTGCCTTGATTAATCGACCAAAATACATTTTCTTTTTAAAAAAAAAAAAAAAAAATTCCAACCCCTTCTGAACCATTGTACAATCCCAGGATTCACACATCCCACACCCCCCCTCCTATTGCTATAATTCAGCTCTTTGCAGGCTCCTCCTCACTCCAGGTACCTGGAAGGCACCTCCTGGAAGGAGAGGAGGGGGCAGGCCAGGCACAGGGAGCGAGACCAGCTGGATCAGGGAGGTGATGGGGGGGAGGAGTCTCATTGTTTCGAGCTACTCGAAACATAGCTGGGGGTTGGGTGTCTGCTCAGCGAGGCCCTGACAGCAAATAAAAACTCTTTCCTCAGCAAGGGAAAGAGGAAAAAAAAACCCTAAGTTCCCACCCGTGGGATGGATTTTGTTGGGTTTCCAAATGGAATGGGAAGGATGGAGAGTGGCCAGGCCTGCAAAAAGCAGTGCTGGAGGTGGCTGCTCCAGGATGGAGCCTCATTGCCTGGTGGGTTTTGGCTCAGAACTGTGAGGGGTGGGAGGCAGGAGCCCCCCTTCCCATTCTCTTCCAGCAGTCACAGTGTGCCAGGAATCATGCAGCAGCGTTCCCCCTTGCCAGGCAGGATCTCCCCACTGCACCTGGATGCAAGGATAGAGCTCCCTTGGGAACGTTCCTGCTGGGCTGAGATCCCCCTGGAACGAGCTCAGAGGAGTTTGGTGGGTGGCAGTGGACAAATCCAGGCTGGAGAGGTGAAAGGTGTTTGGGTGAAGGAGATGGAGGAGCACCCAGATGTGGGGAACATGATCAGGGAGACGCCCAAGCCTGACTGTGCAGTGAAGAACAAGACCTTCGGCTTTGCCAGGCTGGGAAACATTAAAAAACCAAGACGAGAAGAAGTGCAAAACCCATCCAGGCACAGAGTTGGGATCAGTTTAGGACCAAGCCGATCCCGGGAGCTGACAGAGCACCACGGGCAGACAGACACAACACTTGCAGGGAGAACACAGGAGCACTCCCTGCTCCAGCAATGCCGGGCCCGGTCCCGGGAGCTTCCTGCCCTCCCAGAGCTGGAAATCAGCCCCCCCGAGGGGGTGGGAGGTGTGAGGGGTGTGTGGGTCACTTCATCAGCTCTGCTCCCTGTCCCTGACCAGCAGCACCGTGTGCTGCCCTCCGCTGGACACGGCCAGCACCCGCCGGTTCTCCAGCTGCTTCCCTGTCATCTCCACCGGGCTCCACACGTCGTCCTCCTCCCCGGTGCCCAGCTGGTAGTTGGTGCCCATTCCCCAGGCAAACGCTCGTCCTGCAGCAGAGGGGAGGCAAGGTTTGAGTTCAGGATGGGCTGGAAAGGGGACCCAGCACCCAAATGCAATGAGACTCAGGCTTGGTCCTAAACTGGATGGGT